GTGCATGAAGTGTGCATTGAAGTGTGTGTGCAAAGAACAATTATCCCTAGGGAATCAATAAAGTATATCTTCTTCTTCTTCTTTTTAATCAATATGAAAAAAGATAAAAGTGAGATAAAATTTTGAATTTACGGCCGTTTTTTTAATTATGGGAAGCCATCTGTCAGCCTGCTTCATTGTAACCATTAATCTCAGAGTAATCTCTCCTGAGGGCAGGTATGAGATTACCTGCCATTAAACCTTGTTGGCCATTCAAACAGCGGGAGGAGGGAGAGCAACCGCACAGCTTCACACAGCTTTGGGTGTGAAAAGGAGAGTGGAGGGGCTAGTCCCTCCGAGCACACACACAGCTGATCAATCAGTGTGGCGTAGCTCTGCCTCTCTCTACTGAGACTCAGCTCTGTGGAGACCGGACTAGGACTCAGCTGCCAGCAAGACCCATTAGTGGTCAAAGCAGTCAGTTCCCTCGGCTTTTAGCTTGCCAGATGGAGGCTTCCAGAGCAGGATAGAGATATCTATCACACCACTACCAAGGGCTGTGGAAAAATAAGAGGAGAGGAGAAGAAGCTCATTACTGAGGAACTGGCAAAATTGTTTACTGTGTACACACTTGTACTCCCAATAATCACAGGCCAGGGTATAAAACGACATGTTCCTCACTTGTATACGGATAACTTGGTATACAGCTGTGTGTCTATTAAAATAACAACTGATGTTACAAGACTGCATGAGTACCCACCACTTACCCCACACAATTACTGAATGAATTATTGAAATGCACTACAAAAAAATACTCTGCTGCTGTCCAATGAAAACAGTGCAACTCTGAGACTTATTGAGAGAGTCCGAACCTCTGAACGGGTGGGAGGGCTGTCCCGCTTTGAAATCGCCAACACACGAAGCAGACTTTCTACACATACCAGCCTGGGCAATCTTGTGTGCTGGCTGATGCTGTAATGAAAAACTGCTTTTTACAGACAGTGGGAAAATAGCATAATACTCTTTCACAACTTTACCTCACTCCTGAATCTGCTCCTCCAAACACAATCCCTTTTAAACCAAGAAGTGTTCTGTGGGTGTTACACAAAAGCCCGGGGGTCAAGTCAAGACTCCCAAGAGTCTTATTCCTCGAAATCTTGAATCACATGATTCCTTTGCTCTGTAAGGGTCTTGGGGGGGGGCATTTTTTGTTTAGACAAAAATAGATCCACCCACTCAACAATGTATATATTTTCTAACTTCAACTGTCCCATCAGCTGAGCTTAAGCCTGAGGTAATACCAGTCACATGTCCCTCATGTTTACTGTGCAGCTCAGGGTGTCTACAGGCCATTCCCCTTTTTTTTTTTTTATAAAACATGTTATATAATTCACTAGACTTTCATAGTGTTTTCTTGTTGCTGCGTGGTGTTGCTTAATTCTGTGGCATCAAGTTCCCTCTGAATATGTAAATAACTGCCAAGAAACACACAACACTAATTCAAAGCAACACACCTCACTGTGACGAGAAAGTCTTCTCCCTTCACATGTTGAAAACGTCTGTAAAAAGCAACCCTGGACCAAACAAACAGCATGACTGAGCAGCTGTGATGACTGTGATAAGGTGGCGCCCACATCAGCACCTGTCCTGATATCAGTCAGGCATCCTCCATGTAGAAAGGATAGCCATTTGAGCTGCAGCGCGGATGAGAATGGGAGCTCCTTTATGGCACACCGGAGCAGCATTATCTCCAGTAAAACAAATAAAGGCCATTACGGTAAATGGGGCCTGGTGATGGTGCAGCCAGGTCCCTCAGCTGGCACTGTTTGCTGAGCCAGGAGCCAGCAGCCTGCCCGAGCCGCAGGAAATGACCACTATTGATTAGCTGGCAGCTGTCACATCAGTTCTTTCATTAGCGGAGAGGACTGAAACGCAAACAGAGATGGGAGATAAAGGCTGGGAGGATTCGTTTTATTCCAAATGGCCTTACTTTATGCAACAATACCGTGACGAGCAAACACAGATCTGGCCATACACCAAATATTAGGTATCATTCCGCGGGGATAAACCTGTTGGCCTGAATTAAGAGGGAACAAGTAACTTTGAGTGGAAGGCTGGGGCGAGAAGGACTCGTGGGGCAGGAAAAGCCGCTGGACTCATAAACTTAAACAAACTTACCTTTTTTGCGGAAGAAAACAAACGTCCAACTCGGTTCCCTTTCGACTGTCTGTCAGTGTTACGCGGCTGTCTTCCGTCCCCGGCGGTGAGAAGCCGGGTAAAGTAGCCCACTAAAGTAGAGCTAACACCTTAAATATCCTCTTCTGCTCCAGCTCCAGCTCCAGCACCCGGACTGTTTTAGGATACTTAGTTCCGTTTCTCGGTCGGCGGTCCTTGAGCGGCTCCCGGATCTTGGACTGAGTGTTTAAAGCGGACACTCGAGGTGCAGCTCCTTCTGGGACAGAGTTAATGCGGAGTACTGAGGAGGCAGCCGGTGTCAGCTCTGAAGCTGGAGCAGTCCACACCGCTCGAGGAGAGGGCGGTCCACAGTGCCTGCGCACGTGAACGCGCGCACACACCCTGGAGAAACCACACGAGTGGGTTTGTGTTATCTCTGAGGACATCTCTAAGGACAACAAGTGTGTGTGCTGTTAAGTTTAAAACAGTCATATATATATATATTCATATACAGTATTTTCTCTGTGGTGTTTTGTTGGGAAGTTGCAGTTGTATTTTTCCTTTACTATGGTTATATAACATTTTATTATAGGGACTTGAGTTTAGAAGGCTTTCTTTTAGCTTAGTAAAAAGTATTTTTGTCTTCTGTGGTATCATTGCTTTAATATCACTATCAGCAAGGCAGGATCAACCTGTTGGTGGTCAGCTGTGGGTCCCTACTGACCCCCCCATCCCCCTCTCTCTGTGTTTATGTACACTGTTGTTGTTGTAATAGATCATAAAAGGAGCATGGAGTTTTCAAATGTAATGAATAAAAGAGCACTGGTATCAGATACTCGGTATTAGAAGATATCCTGAGTATACCAGGTACCAGAATTGGTACCAGGAGAGAAAAAGTCCAGTTGGTGCATCCCTTGTGTTTTCTTCTCTTTAATAATATTCCCACAAAAAAGTTGGCATCCTCTCCAGACATGTATTTATACCGTATATAAAAATAATCTGCTTTAAACAAAAATGTGTGTCTGATATATTTCTTTCTGCAAAAAAGTATAATTTCTACATTCAAACTCGTAAAGAAGAATCTACTCCTTCTACCTGATTGAAAATGACAGCATCCGTGAATATGCAGATTTAGTTAATTTCAAAAGTTCTTCTCTCCATTCTCAGTGTATGTGCACTGGTGGCTTCAAGTTTCTACATCACACATATTATTTGCTTATTGGACCAGCATTGACTTCCGTACTATTTGTGATGTCACAAATGATGCTGATAGTCCCCGCCTCTTAAAATCAGATTTTCAATGAGCTCTTAAAAATCAGATTTTCAATGCAGCACAGAGAAACTTTCCACTTTCAGGCAATGAATGTGAAAAATCCTTCTAGGTCAAACTCTGCTCAATCATTCTGCACAGTGGAGATCAAACATCCAACTGTAAGAAGCAAAGAGAGTAAAAT